GGCTGGGGATTCGAACCCGCCACCTTAGGTGTACGTGGCTGGCGCCCCAGCCGGTTGAGCCACAGGCGCCGAGCCAAAATCCAAACTTCTAACAAGCACTGCAGATGACTCTGCTGTACCTGGTTCATAACGCACTTCCTACTACAGAGGAATGATGGGCAAAGTATTTTACAACATTATCCTTAGAATATGTAATGTTAAATATTAACAAAGGAAAACTACTTATGCAGTAGTACCTTTACTTCACAATATTGAGTTTCTATCTTTTAAAAAAAAATTCTACCAGTTTTTTTTGCTAAATGTACTACTGAAAGAATCACTCACACATCTGCATATGCACCTATTACTCTTATTTTAATAACGTATTTAATAACTAGCATTTAGATAAAAATATTAAGGTACCCCATTTGGTGTTAAGTATAATATAAATAACTTAATCCTGGTCTACAACCACAAGCTTTCTTTAATTAGGATCAATACAAACTTGGTAATGTAATTATGGCTATGTCTAATCAGATGTTTAAAACTTTTTTTTTTAAAGCCTTAAAATTAAGAAATGAATATAATTGTGATGGATGTGTTACTTAGTTCAATGTAAGCATTTCACGTTGTATATCAAAGCAGTACACTGAACCTCATAAATGCATCAATGTACAAAATTATGACTTATTAAAAAATAGAAATAAATAAATAAAATTTAAAAGTAAAAAGCCTTAATAGTCATCTTACAGATTTACTACTGTATATAGGTAAATTAAAAGATTGAAACCAAGTATACTTACTTTATTGCTTTGGATATCAGGATGGGGAGGTGAATCTAAGTTTATGATGGCATGTAGAATATCATGTGTTAGATTACTAAGGTGCAATATTGGGTTGGCAACTACTGTTTTGGCACTGGCTGTACAAGCAAAAAGGAGAGGCACTGAGGTTTGCTCTGACAGCGGGCTAGGAAACAGCGGTTCTGATGTTTCCTTAAAAACAGAGGAAAAAAAGAAGGTTAATCAACTATTTATAGTTACAATCCATTAGTTAAGTAACACCAGGGGGCTCTTTGAAACACTTCTTAATAATTAAAAACTAAAAGCAAAATAGAAACTTATGGAGTTAGAAGGGACCTGAGGAAGTTTACATTCCAACAACCATATTTAAAAATAATGTTACAACACCCTCTTGTATGAGGAGAAGCTCATCACCGCACAAAACATTCACATAAGACTGTGAAGTGAATAAAGCAGGCCATGAAGGCTGATACTAAATTGCCCTCAATGTGAAATACATACTCATCTCTCCAATGTCATAATGAGAGGAAGCAAGCCCTAAAGCAACAGTAATGCAGAAAATCAACAATTTTAATATTCAAAGCAAAACAAACAAAAAACCCAAAAGTGTCAGATGTACTATTTTTGACTATCATATAAAGTAGATACCTGCTGAGATTCTTGTAAAAGCAAAATCAATTCCATTCTCACAGATGCAAGACCCCCACCATGGGATCCATGAAGTATGCAGTAACTAAGAAACATCCTCAAGAGTGACTGGTATTTCAAGAGCCACTGTCTTTTTTCCTGAAAACTTTCTCTCAGCTGTTTCACTTTTGTTTGGTGAAGCAAATCTTCAGTATCCTGATTTAATCCAAATCCATCTCCATTTTTGCCAACTGCAGACGGTAATTCTTCAGCATCTGAGCAAAAGTCACAAGTCTTCTGAAGAGCTATCACCTCTTTTTCGAGCCAGTGGTATAGCTGATAACGCAATTTTCCACCATCTATCTCATAACCAGTAGATAAAGTACGAAGTTCGACTGTCAGAATCTTTAAACATGCTCTAAATTTTAATTGAACTGCAATTATATCTTCTGATGGGTTTAAGATGTCATTTTCATCTAGTGTGCTGAAAGAGTCTGTGTAATTAGAACTTATTTCCTCTAATTTTTTATCTGTTGTTCTTTGTAAAGGTTTTAGTTCTTTCATTGCAAGAGGGCCATCCTCATTCTCTTCATCATTATCACTGTCCCATTTTAACTCCAAAGAGTCATCCTGAAATACGATACTTGGTTGACTCCAGTCAAAAGAAAGAGTGGAGTTTGACTGCTTCTCTGAGGAGCCCTCTGAGGAAGATCCAAAGCCGTTCATCAGTGACTGGGACCAATCAACTGCGGAAGACTTATCATCTCCTGCATCCAACTTCAGTGGTGAAGAAGGCGAACAATCTTTACTAGTATCCAGAAAACTAGATGTCCTACAAAAAGGTTTTGTTTTCTTGATGACTTTGGGCATCTTTGATAATACTTCCAAAGCCAACATAGGGCAGCCAGCTTTCAAATGAGCACTGGCAGTAGTAAAAAATAATTTTCTTTCACTTAAATTAATTGTTCCTGCCAGTCCACTTTTTCCTGTTAGACTCATGTGTGTAGAAAACACGTCAGATGATCCAAAATGACGTCTCAGCAAAAGAGGATGTGTTCTTAGGTAATTGTAGAAATTAAAAACGGCAGGATTACAAGATGACGTCGTGGCTTGATCTGGAAGTAAATACATTTGATGAGCCATTTTCTCATTAAAAATCTCAATTACTATATCCTCAGGCCTACAGTTCATTTCCACTTGCATGAATACCTATATGGTCTTGCCCCAGGGTATCTTTATTTAGTGTGCCAATGACCCAAACCACTCCTTACCCAGATATCTGCTTGATTAACTTACTCATTTTAAGTTCTTGGTCAAAGGTCACTGTATCAACAAAGGCTTCTGGATATAAAACCATGCTCCCCCATTTATGTATTCCTCAAGCTAAAATTCCAGGAGTTATGTATGAATTCTAATTCCTTCGCACTCCATATCTAATCCATTCCTGTCTAGTCAACCTTACAATCATATCCCAAACCCAACTACTTTTCTCTGCCTCCACTCCTATCATCCTGGTCCAAGTCATTATTACCTTTTGCAATTTTCTTCTAGAAGAAGGTTTCATTGGCTCTAAAGGTATGTGAATATATTATTATACCCAAATCAAAACATTTTTATCAAAATATATGTCTGTATAAGAAAGTAGCTGGAAAGGGAGTTTTGGTTTTCCCTTCATCACATTGAAAATCTTTAGCTCAGATGGCTGGGAGACTTAAACAAATGATTTACATGTCTTTCTCCTAAATCCGAAGGTAAGGTACATCGTACATCCTGATTGAATTAAACCTTTCCCAATTAGCATTCTAAATGATGTGACACCTAGGACATTAGTTACCAGACATAATTCAATGGAAAAATAGGTAAAAAGCAAATACCATTACGTTTATATGAAATCATATAAAGAATTCCATTTTAGGCTGGGCTCCTGCCTGTAATCCCAGGATTCTGGGAGGCCAAGGTGGGAGGATCACGTGAGCTCAGGAGTTCCAAACTAGCCTGAGCAAGAACAAGATCCACCTCTACTAAAAATAGAAAAATTAACCAGATGTCACAGTTGAATACCTGTAGTCCCAGCTACTGGGGGGCTGAGGTAGGAGATTGCCTGAATCCAAGAGTTTGAGGTTGCTATGAGTTAGGCTGATCCCATGGCACCCTAGGCTAGGCAACAGAGTGAGACTCTGTCTCAAAGAAAAAAAAATACTAAAAGAACAAAGAATTCCATTTTATACTAGTTTCCATGAGAGCTTTAGCAGAAGAGATTTTTAAAAGGAAAGACAGAAATAGAGGCCAAATGGCAAAAATCTCTACCACACTTACTTCGTGAGCAAGACAGTTAATTAGAATTTATTAAACTTAAGATTTTCTAAGCACATCACTTAATTCAATTTTCCTTATACTAAATACATTTTTTACTATAAGAATTGTAACTGACTTACACACTAAATTCAACCTAAGATGAAAAAAAATTCACATATATTTCTCCAAAACATTTATATTTAATTGTTAATATTTACGCTCAATATATTTCATAAAAACAGAAAATCCAAAATTATTTGTTTTCAAAGGATTTATCTTTCATAAAACAAAAAACAAAACTGCATATAGAACCCTGGTTTCAAGCAAACCATAAAGTCCCAACTAAGGCTAGGAATCCAATTTGTCTGCCTTACCCACAGCAGCCATAAGACTGGTCTGCACATCCCGCAAGTGCTGCTAACGCTCTTAATCATTAACATCTTAGGAACGCCGCTTACCATCATCCTCCCTCACAGGCTGCTTTATCAATGTCTCCAGAGCACCACTATAATCTTCCAAAATCCAATATGCCATACTCCGAAGAAAAGGATCATAATGTGTATTTATGTTCAATGAACTGGGTTCACTGACAGAAGAATCAATTCCTAACACTTTTTTACGTAAAATAGATTTATATGTTGCAGATGTATCAAATTCAGACTCATAGAGTCTTGCTATTACAAGAGCCAACTGAATGTCATTCAGTTTCTCCAGACATACCTTCATAAAAAGAGAAATACTGTTAATAAATAAGCAGAGGGAGCTTTCATTTTTGTATAAACTCAACTAACTCACAAATGACTAGAAAAAAGACTTTATTAATATTCAAAATAAGCAAATGAGAATAAGAAACAAAACAAATACAGCTTGCTTTAGCAAATCTACTTGACATTTACATTAATACTTGCAAATCTACCTAATAGTACTAAATATATATTTGCAAAAAGAATTTGCCTAATGAGGAAATATTGAATAACTTAAAATAATGCTAATTTAAGCTACATAATTTTATTTTAGTCTGGAAAGTCTACTCTTCTCTATCTGTCCCAGTAGATGGAATGTTTCCAAATTTAAAAAGCTACTTTGAATTCCCTATATAATATTCTGAGACAAAGGCAATGTGAGTGGGAAATGTTATATCATTAATACTAATAAGTTTTTAAGGTTTACTGAAAAATAAACAGTGAAGAATTTTCTAAGGTTTATCAAATAAGATAGCCAGATATGGGTTCAAATATGTTTAAGCTGATAGGACAAATCTTTTAATTTTTTTCAACTTGTTCATGAATATTCTTTTTTTTTTTTTTTTTTTTGAGACAGAGCCTCAAGCTGTCCCCCTGGGTAGAGTGCTGTGGCATCACAGCTCACAGCAACCTCCAACTCC